TTTTTAAACAATATAGAATCAGAAAACTTACTGTTTTCATTTCTGTGTGAATAAACTATCACTTAGAAGGGGCTCTCATGGTGTCAGAAAACACACTTACCAGTAAATTACCAGATAATACTGAATTACCAGTAAAAATAGACTGGCTTACTGTGTTTTGGGTTGTTTTATTTCAGAAGTCTATCTAGTTTTTACAAACAGCAATCCTAGAGCTGAATCTCTAATTTTAGAAATATTTTAAAAGTTTTTATTTAGTATTTACAAACCATAGTGGAACATAATATAATGATAGGAAAGAGCTTAAGTTTAGTGCTGAGAAGGCCTATGTTTGAATATCTTTTCCAGGTAATTTTTTCTTGGGCAAGTCACATAACTTTTCTGAGCCTTCATTTCTTGCCTAGTAGGGCAGATAATAAAAGTCCACCTTCTTATTTATGGCCTTTGGGGATAGATGTGTTTTGGAATTAAGAATTTTTCAGAAATTTAGAAAGTTTAGAAAGATAACAGAGTGCATACACTGTGTGAACGTGACACTCTAGTGGGTTCTGGGCAGCCTGTAATCTAACTCATGGAGATTTCTGTAGCCAGATGTACCAAAGGAATCAATGAAGATGGTTAATAGCCTTAGGTCTGGCTTTATTGCCAAAAGAAATGTGGGGGCCAAGTCTTGAAAAAATATTTGGAATTTCAGAGCTGTTTTAACTGTTTGTGGATAAGGGATTACGGACCTGTGTGGCCCTCCCAAGCAGCCCAGAATAATCCCGTAATAACTGATGCTGGCAGTATTGACGTGTTGCATGGTGATGGCGGAAGGCCTCTGTGGGTTGGTATTTAAAATGAACACCTTTGCATTTTAAAGGAAAACTCGTTATATTGGTCTTCATATTGCACATTGTTAGATGGAGGCACATGAGAATTATCCTCCTCTTTGGTGAGTGTTTAGTATTTACTCACAAATCTTAAGTAGGAGTTACTTAGAAATATTAACTCACAAAGCAGGTAATATTAGGTAGTGGAGGCTTATTACAGAAATTACAGATGGTTTACAAGATGGCCAGAACTCTGCCCTGTGAGCTGGGGAGAAGGCACCGTGGCTGGTCCCTGAGGTAGGTGACCGAGGGTTGCTAGTGCTAAGTGCTCGCTGGCTAACCTCCCTCAGCTTTGCTGTCCATGGCAACAGTGTCACTTCATCAGAGAGAACAGACCCAATGGCCTAAACTGTTCTGAAATGAAAACAGCTCTTTGCTTCCAATCCCAATGGTGGCACCTGTATGCTGCCTCTGCCAACTCAGAGAACAGGCAGCATAGCCTGGAGGTCAGGAGAATGGACGTTGCCTCCAGACTTCCCAGGTCCAAGTCCACAGACTGGCTCTTCGGCTTGGTAGTCAAATGTCCTTGGTCCTGTGTCTTTGTGAAATGGGAGTCACTGCCCCTACTGGTGTGAGGTATTGTGGTTTTAATTTGCATTTCTCTGATGACAAGCGATGTGGAGCATCTTTTCATGTGTCTGTTGGCTATCTGAATTTCTTCTTTAGAGAACTGTCTATTCAACTCCTCTGCCCATTTTTTAGTTGGATTATTTGCTTTTTGTTTGTTGAGGTGTGTGAGCTCTTTATATATTTTGGATGTGAACCCTTTATCGGATCTGTCATTTATGAATATATTCTCCCATACTGTAGGATACCTCTTTGTTCTATTGATGGTGTCCTTTGCTGTACAGAAGCTTTTCAGCTTGATATAGTCCCACTTGTTCATTTTTGCTTTTGTTTCCCTTGCCCTGGGAGATATGTTCAAGAAGATGTCACTCATGTTTATGTCTAAGAGATTTTTGGTGACATGTTTTAAGTGTCCACTCACTGTGGAGTGACCTTGGCCTTGGAGCTGTCACTGAGTCCCTTAGAGGGCACTGATGTACAGAGGAGTGAGCTCTCAGCACACTCTGATTGGAGACGGGGTTGGCATTGGCCTCCATCTTTGCTCTTCTGCCTGTGTACTAGGTCGCCCTCAGGAGGGACTGGCTTTTGCCCCTTTCCTCGCTTCTGATGGCAGAGCAGCAATCCCAGCTGGCTGCCCTGTTCGTGGGGTTGCAGCCACAGACAGAGAGGTGGCACCTGCCGGCCATGGCTGAGGTCAGGGAGGCAGCTGGCAGACTAGGTTGATAAAGCCTCTGATTAGCCCATGTTTTTATATTTTAAATTGGAAGATTCCATCAGCATATCTTTAAAATGCTCCTTGGACAAAGGCTTCCTCGGCACTCCATGTTGATTCAGGATTCCTCGCACTCTTGAGAAAATGTTCTCAGACGTATAAAATAATCAAAAGCTTCATGAAGGAGTTTTGTTTTGAATATGAGGTAGATTTCATAATTGCTTCTGTTTCTAAAAAGGGCTTGGAATTTGTACACTGAATTCTTTCATGTTTATTGGAAAAATAAGTTCATCTGGTATTTACAATTCTGTCTAAGGGAACCACTAATAAAAGAAAATTTTAACCCATTTATAACCCTGAGTGGTTGTTCATAATAACTTTTAATTCCAACTTAGAGAAATAAGCTTCCTGAAACACTTTTCTTAGACTTAAAAAACAAATCTTTATTATTGTTAGAATACTGTATTTTGCTTCTTCCACCCCTTCCTGCCAAATAAAGTTTATCTTTTACTTTTTGAAATCATGCCTTTATTTGAAATCTGTACTAAGTTTCAGTGATCATCAGGCTTGCTGCTTACCAGTGGCTTAATTTTCTTTTTGCAGTAAAGTTGAGGCATATGCAAAATATACTGTAGTTGTACTTATACCAAAAAAGAAAAAAAAGCCTCCCAGTCCTTTATTCAGATCTGATAGGCAGGTGGAGTGTAGCATTGGTATTACTTATGTATCTCTAAATTCTTTGTTCAAGCTTGAAGTATTTGATCCTTGTCTTCTGCATGGTATCGATTTTGTGCCTTGAAGCATATTTCATTAATTGTATTCATTCTTTGAAGTTAAGGCATCTTGAAGTTTTCACCGGATGTTTCTTTAGGAGTGGAAGTGGACCTGTGTTTTTCGTGTACTAAGAGACTGTCAGAACAGCCCAGAAGTTTTATGCCTGCTTTTTGAAGTCAGGCTGCAAATGTAGCACTCCTTACTACTGGCAGGGCTGAAGCTCGCTCTCTCTTTTTAATCTCAGGAAAGAAAAATTAGCTCACTCAATGCACTAGTTAAAAAGTAATGGAATATATGTAGCCTGGCCATCAGAGAGCCTAACGCCGGGTGGAAGCCTGCTGCAGGTGGTAGGTTATGGGCAGGGTGGTGCATGTGCTGTGGGGTCACCCTTTCATAGCAGGTGCTTGACACAGATCCCACTGAACACTCACAGCTCCCCGTGATTATCACCACTGGGCAGATAAGGAAGCAGCAGCCCAGAAAGGATCAGGACCTGGCCCAGGAGCACATAGCTAGACCCTGTGTATACAAGGGGTAGCCTTCAGGAGGACTGAGAGACAGAGTTGACAGAATATAAATAGATACAGTAGGAATTATTCTGATAGTGTGACCTCAGGAGATAAGAGGAATGGTGGTATTGACAAGAGGTTTGGAAATGAACTGTAGTAATGAGGTACGTGTGTAGCTTTAGCTGAGCACCCTCTGCAAGGCTTGGCCTCTGTGCCCTACCCACCCTCCCACACATGCACACGAGGTTTTCCTAATTCATCTGGGTCTTTACAGAGAACCCCCAGAGATCCACTCAGGTTCTCAAGCCACTTATTACATGTACTACTACCTTTGCAAAACCCCATGCAGAGCGGACTCTCAGTCAGACCCCTGGCTTCAAGGTCACTGGTTGAGAGCAATGGAGAACAAGTCCAGTTGGCCCTGGACAGGAGGCTCTGGCCCTTACCAGCTGCCTCTCTTACTGGATCTCTGTGAGCACAGCTGATCTCTAAGTGCAGATAACAAATGGCAAGAGATCCTTTTTGTAGCACTAAACCCCACATTAAGGCCCTTTTATTTTGCCATTAGTGGAGTGCTATGACTGGTCTGCTTCTAGACTGTGCTCTAGACCACTCTCCCCACTGTGGGTGCCCCAGTTGGTTCTTCAGTCCCAGATCATTTTGCTCCATGTGTTTAGTTACCATAGTTACTAAGTACAGAGGATTTGAGGTGTCCTTCAGCGCTTCAGCACATTAACAAATGTTTCTAAATAATGTCATTTAAAGTTTTTACTTTCTAGCTAAAGACATCACTGACTTAATTTTTTGTCACTCATCTCTCCATCAGAAAGAGAAAAAGTGTGCAGTTTATGTAAAGTAAATATTTTGTTAAATACTGTGTTTGTCATTTCTCAAGTACAAGAACCAATGGACTACTCGGTCCCAGCTATGAACTTATAAACTGTTGGTTGCATTGCTTTACATTCACTCCTTTTCTTTAGTGGGTTTCAACAAGCAAAGAGCTTTAAATTAACTTATGGCATGTTTAGCTTTCATAAGAGCTTAGTAGTATATAGAACAAACTGTCCTCAAAGACCAGGACAGAGGCATTTAAGTGTTTTGTTTCTTGGGTTTCACTTATGTGTTTTGAATCTTTAAAGAAGAGACAGTAAAACATTAATTCTGTACTTGAACTTGAATTGCCTGAGTTGTGAAGCTCTGAGCCTTATAAAAATGTTAAGTTAGACTGGTTGTCTGGAGCTTGATAACCACTATCTCCTACAAACCCAGTCTGTTTCGGAGGTTTGCTTTTGCATAACATGAGGTGATATTTAATCATTATCACATGTAACATTTATAGAGATAAAGACTCTCAAAGTAAGAGCTGATTAAAATTGTAGTGGGAAAGCTGATTGAAGATGCAGTTCTCAAGTGTGTTAGATTAATAACCAACTGCTTCCAATTTTTTTCTCCATTCACTTCTTCTTTCTCATAGAGTTGACGGCAGATTGTATCTTCAATGGATAGTCCTGAGTAGTGAGTAAGCCAGGACCTTGTTTTTATGGCACATGTACCTATATTTCCTTGTAGGTGCTGGACTGGATTGAGAACCATGGAGAAGCATTTCTGAGCAAACATACGGGTGTGGGGAAATCTCTTCATCGAGCCAGAGCTTTGCAGAAACGTCATGAAGATTTTGAAGAAGTAGCACAGGTAAAACAATGGCTTTCACTATTTTCTCCCCAAAATACCTATATGGTTTGTTTTGAATTAGAGTTTTAACCACATCTGAGATGAGTTAACCTTAGTTGACTGTGTTTGAAGGTGATTCAGAAGAGATCACCCCCAGGTTCCAGAGTGAAGGTATCATTGCCAAGGCAGAAAGATGATTTAGCAACTTGACTCTTTCATGAAATGTGATATTCTTGTAACAGAAAGATCTCTTGGTTGTTTTTGCCATATTGTACCAATGTCTTTTGACTAGTTTGTGAAATTTCAATTATAATCAGAGAATAACAGTCCTTCTTGCACTTATGTAATGATGGGCCAGTATTTTTTGTCCATTTTCCAGTTCTTTTAAAGGTGTGTGCTTAGAAACAGGAGGTGAAGATAGTGTGTTCAGAGCATGGTATTTGTGGAGTACAAGCATTGGCTATAATGATCACTAGCTGTGTGACTTTGGAAATAGTTTAACGTTTCTAAGGTCAGCTTTCTTACCTGAAAAATAGGCACAGTAAGGGTTTCCAGAGAGGAACTTGGGATATGTGTGGTAATGTGAGATAAAGTAGCCAGCCCAGGTCCTTACCACACTTGTTGCTTAGTTAATGTGCTTCTTGTTTTTGTGTTTTGAAAGAAAGAATAAAGGAGAGAGAGTACAGTAACATGGCATCTGTGTGTGTGTGTGTGTGTGTAAGCTACAAGAGAAGGTCCAGTAGGTCAAATCCAAGCTGAGACATGTTATAATAAAACTGAGACACATCAAAGACAAAGTCTTAAAGAGAGCAATGACAAAATGAAAACTATGGGAATGACTGTTAGAAAGACAGCTGACCTCTCTCATGAGGGACCACAGATTCCAGAGGGTGTGGAACAGTCCTGAGGAGTAACCCTGCACCTGCAATTCTGTCCCCAGCTGAGCCATCATTCATTAGGGAGGACAAAACACAGGCCAAGTCTGAGAGAGCTTCTTCTCAAGTACTTACCAGAAGAGTGAAAGCATGTCATATAGTAAGAATAATGGATATGTAAGAATAACTATAAACTCCTTGAGAAGAGGGACTTTGTTTTGTTCACTTCTCTGTCACTACCACCTAGAACAGTGCCCAGCATATTTATTCACCAAATATTTAAGCATATTAAGTATTTGTTGAATGAATTAATTAAATGAATAAGAAGGATGAGAAGAAAGGACTGGGAGTAATGATGAGCACAGAAATTGGTAAATAGATTTGTAAATGAAAGGACTGACCATTTGCAACAGACATTGAATTTGGGGGTATTTAATTACATGACGGAACTAAAGTAGGAGACCACATTAGTGTAGAGGATGGAGATCATGAAGATGGCAGGAGGTGGAGGTACTGTTGGCCTTAGATTGGCAGGTTCAGCTGTGCATGTTGGTGTGTCTGAGTGACCACTGAAAGTATAGGGACAGGGCATCACTCCCAAAAAAGTGAAAAGGGAAAAGATATACAGAAAACTGGATAAATAAGAACTCATGGGAATAGAGCCGGAAGAAGGAAATGAGAAAAAATCGTGAGAATAACCACAAATTAAGATAGATTTAGCAATTGATTCATAAATATCAGTAACTACAGTAAATGCAAAATAGATTACAATTGTTGGGACGAAATGCTCTGAGTATCTTTTAAAAATCATGCTATATATTGTTTTTTAAGGGCACCCCTAAAACATAAAGACCCAGGAAGTTTGAAAGTATATGAAGTATTAGAGAAAGATCTGTCAGGAAAATATTAACCAAATTTATTTTAGTTAATATAAAATAGTAACAGAAAACTGGTGTAGGACTATTAAGTAAATAAACTAGAAAGCATAAAAACATTATTAATTAAAGGGGGTTCTTCAGTTATAAAAGGAAGAGGGTCACTAATCATCTAACAATGTAGCCTCAAAATCTATAAAAATAAACAGGAGCACCATGGCCTTGTGTGTCCATAGGTTTCAGTTATACACTAGTTTAGTTGGGGAACTAAGTACGGGGTAGAATTATGGGATAGCAAAAGAAACTGCTGTTAGGTCCGATTCAGTAAACGTGACTTCAGAAAGTTACCTTCCTTACAGGGCTTCCTATGTAAAGTAAAATTGCCAGTCCCAACTTTTCTGCTTTTTTGATCTCAGGAAACAAGGAAGAACAGTTGTACATCCAGTGGCCCTGCTGGCGGGTGGTCTTTGGAGCATTTTTCTGTCTATATCATGTGTTGTTTCCCTACTTACGCTTGTTGGAAAATATTTTGCCTTCCTCCTGTAGCCGAAAAAATGTGGAAAATGTGTTATCTCCCCTTAATTTTTTCCGTAAGATAACTTACTGCTGTAGCCAAGGTGGCTTGGGGATGGATATGAAATTTGGATTATATGAGCAGAGACTTCAGGCACCAAAGGATCTACAAGGCAGAACAGCAAACAAGCCAGCTCTTGGGACGGAGGCTCTGGCCTCACCTGTGGCCGTGGCTTGGGCTGCCTCTCCTTGTCCTCAGCAACCTTCCCGAGCTTTTTCTGTGTGAAGGATGATGGTCTGCTGAACGGCTTCCCGTGTGGACAGCCCCACTGACCCCTCTCCCTCTGGTTCCTCTGGGCCTTTCATTCTATATCAAGGAAGTACCTTCTGTGGCTAACTGTGCCCTACCTTTTCCTGGTAAACGTATTTCCTGAGGTCTAAGGCAACCATGAGAGCTATTATCACAGGTTCTCAGGGGGCAGCAGGAGTAAGAATACCTTCTTTGTAGACCTTCCTGCCTTAAGGTTTCTAGAACAAGCCAAGGACTGGCGTGGCGGCTGAGCTGTGGTCTGCTTTTTACCCCTGGTTCAGAGAAAAGCGGATCTGGGCTACTCCTGCTTCCACCCGGCTGATCTTCAGCCCTTGCTTATCTCTGCTTATTGTCCCTCAGACTCGCAGGGGTGCCTCATCATCTTTCCCTCAAGCTGAAAGTACTGAGGCCCAAATTTGGACAGTGTGTGAAAAGAACCCTTAAATGTAAATGTAAATACCTTTTGCTTAACTTTGCCAACATCTGTACCCACTTTCTGTCCTTTTGGTTTTCAAATAACCACCTGCCATGTGTCAGGCATTCTGCCAGGCATGGGAGATGGGGGCGTGGATAGGCAGCAGGCCAGACCAAGACCTCCTGAGTAGGCATGGCCACTTGTCAGAGGGCTTTTCACTAAGGCCTGCAAACTAGTATCATGACAAAAAGAGGATTTTAGAGGCGGACTTAGTGGACAACAGGTGGGACTGTTTGGTAGCATGCCTGCAAGGCTGGAGTGTGGACCAACTGGGCCTCCCAAGGGCCTGGGGAGCTGTGTACAAACTGCCAGCCTCTCATCTTTGCAGGCTTCTCTCCTCTGCATACCAGCACCGGGTGAGTTCTGAGCTCTCTTCTGAGACCTGGTTGTGCCTGTACATCTCGGCCTCTACCTGAGCCTTCCCCAGCCTGCTACCAGGACCTGGGCCCTTCTGCTATGGCCTCTTTGCCACACATCTCCAGCTTCTCCCCTCTTTCTGGCAGAAGATATTTATAGAGCCTCCACTGTCTTGAAGAACGTATTCTGCTCCATTTTTTAGATACCAGTTGGTCTTGAGAGAGTGTTCTGCCATTTACTATGCCTTCTTATCACCCACTGTCACCGGCCTTAGGCATCTGCCCAGCTTCTCCCCTCTTTCTGGCAGAAGATATTTATAGAGCCTCCACTGTCTTGAAGAACGTATTCTGCTCCATTTTTTAGATACCAGTTGGTCTTGAGAGAGTGTTCTGCCATTTACTATGCCTTCTTATCACCCACTGTCACCGGCCTTAGGCATCTGCTGGTGAAACTGCAGGCAGCACGTGCTCAGTGGCATGCACTGCTTGGAGTAGGCACGCAGCAGTCTGTCATAGTTGACCATGACCTGGGACCCCACCATTCAGTTAGCCTCCACTTGCTGTCGAGTGCACAGCTTTGATCCCTTCTGTCCACAAACGTGGACAACCTTCTGTTGTGTGGTAGGCCCCAAGTAGTTGGTAAGGGAGCTCTGGAATCTAGTTTATGGCAGCCAGGTACCCCATGCACATCCCAGGCTAGTTTTCAAGGGAGTTTGCTCTGCCTCAGAGTGTACCATCAGGCAGGTAGGTGGAGGGACTGCCCTGAGTCAGACCAGCCACAGATTAAGTGTAAGTGGGAGGGGGGTTGGATGGCCTGAAGAAATAGGCTGCCCTTCTTTCTCCAACCACTCCACCTTGTTTACTTAATAAAGATTTAAAAAATAGTAATAATCCTTTAAGCCAAAAGAGATCTTGGCTGTGAGATGGCTTTATTAAGACCAAATATAGTGGATTTGGTCTAGACAGACAGTGGCCTGGATATCGAGATAAAATTACACTTCATGTTTATAGCTTCATTCATTTGCAGGACTCTAGCTCCTGATACCCTGACATCTGTCCTCTCGGGGATGAGGGGGCGGGGGTTGGAATGAGGCCTACAGAAGGGTATTACCCTCACCAACTGTCCTTTTCCGCCCTCCCTGTCTTTTGATTGTTTTCTCTCAAAACAGATTATAATAGAAGTGCCGTGGCAGAGATATGAGAGAATATTTTAGATTTATGTATTTTTTTTTTACAGAATGGCCTTCTGAGGCACCTTAAAAATGGAATCAGAAGCATTTTTAGTGTTTAATAAGGAGCCTCCTTTTATTTTCTGAAATGTATTCACAAAGGTAGAACCAATTTGGGGGTTTAGGGAGAAGAAATTTCCCGTTCACAGTTAGGTTTAAGGCTGGTTAGTTTGTTCCTTGGGGTTGTGTTTTGAAGGCTCTTTTGTAAAATGAATTCTGAACTGTGTTTAGAGATCTTGCATTAGCAATTTATTGAGTACATTTTACTTATCATCAACTTCTTAAAAATAGTTGTGGCATGATGAAGTAGCATGACAGAGATTCAAAAGGGAAGTGGTGAAAGCCTTATGGTTGAATTCACTTAAAATATACTAAATATAGATTTATC